GGTGGTGGTGTGGTAGATGATGGTGGTGGTGGTAGTGGTGGTGGGTTTTTGTGGTGGTGGTGGTGATGGTGAGTTGCGGTGGTGTTTGTGGTGGCGGTGGTGGATGTGGTGGTTGTGGTGGTGTTTGTGTGGTGTTGTTGGTGGCGGTGGTGGTGGTGGTGGTAGTGGTGGTGGTGGTGGTAGTGGTGGTAATCGTCGCTGCGTCCCCGCCGTCGCCGGCGCCAACGCCGGCGCTGCTGGCCGCCGCCAGCGCCGGCGCCGAGGGGGGGGGGTTCGGACCCCCCCCTGGGAGGGGGGGGGAAGGGTTTGAACCCCCCCCCCTAGGCTGCCTCTGGTCATCGTCGCTGCGTCCCCGCCGTGGGCGCTGCTGGCGGCCGCCGGCGCCCCCCCCCCCTTGGGAGGGGGGGGGGGTCCGGGAGGGTGGGGGCTTGGGGAGGAGGGGAGTCCCCCTGGTTTTGATCGACGGCGCCGAGTGTTGGGGGGGGGCCCAGGCCCAGGTTTGAAACGCGCCGCCGACTGTTCCCAAGGCGAGCGCCCGTGAAACGCGTTCTCTCTCTTCTTATGATTAACAACCGACTTCTTCTTATCAATAAGACAGTGATGATTCGTTTCCTTAGTATTCTTTGTATTCCTCATAATGCTATGAATATTACCACGATTCGTATTCGCAGCATGAGACGAACTCGTAGTGTTATTATTAGTATTCTCATGAATAATATTAGGTTCCATATTACTATTCTTGATCGTAGTAGTATTACTATGAGTCGTAGTCGTGATATGATTAGTATTAGTACGAATGTTAATAGAATGCTACTTTTACTCATATTTATGTTACTCTTCGTCGTAATGAGTTTTATGAAGCGTAGTCACGCTAGTATGATAATACTTAGAATGGTAGTAAGATTCGTCATCGGCTTATGTTATTAGTATTATGTGTAGAATTATGGTTGCTCACATGTTCTTTGTAGTATTGGAGACAAGACTCGTATTCTCATTATTAGCAGCAGCTCGACTATTCATAATGATCTGTGGTATTATTACTATTATTAATCATGTTCGTCACAGTCGTGCTATTCTTCATCTTAGCATGGGTATGTGCAGTACGATGATTAGCGTTTTCATTACTACTGTCGTTGTACGAATCGCATCACGAATAATAATCCGCCGGCCCCCCTGTGGGGCCATCAGGCTGCGAGGCGTAGGCTTCCTGCTCCCTGCACCAATTCCAGAGTTTCCAGTGCCCAGTGTTACAATCCTGCCTGCGAGGGGGGGAGCCGACAAGGAGCCGGTGGTACTCTGCATTCCCGCGAGGCCACGGGTCACGCAAAAAAAGGCGCGAGGGTCGCGCCCCCGACGCAGTAATCCCCCGCAAAGTACGCTGTACTTGCGTCCCCGAACCCGCGATCCCTCGCAAATTGCGCCGCCTTGGCGCCCCCGTGGCCACGACCCCTAATGAAATATACCAGGTTCGCGCCCCCGTGGCTAGGATCTCCCGTAACTTTGAACTACGTTCGTGCCTCTGGGGCCACGATCTCTCGCGAATTACACCGCAGTTGCGGCGCCCCCGAGGCCACCCCCTTGTAAATTCTCTACTTTTCGCGCCCCCGAGTGTCAGTAACCTTAACAAATTGCTCATCGCTTGCGTCCACGAGGCGACAAACCCTTGTAAATTACGTAATGTTCGCGTCCGTGAGGCCATTCACCCTCGCAGAGTACCATGTTTGCACCCCCGAGACAACAAACCCTGGCGAATTACTCAAATGTTGCGTCCCCGGAACAACAAACCTTTGTAAATTACTCAATCGTCGCGCCCCCGAAGCCAGAATCCGTACCGAATTACACTATAGTCGCGTCCTCGAGGCCACAAACCCTCGCAGATTTCTCAATCGTCGCGTCCCCGAAACCAGAATCCCTCATATACATTGTGCGATGTTCGCGTCCCGAGGCCACAAGCCCATGCAAGTTGCGTTATTCTCAAGCCCCCGAGGCGACGCACCCCTGTAAAGTGTTCCATCTTCGCGCCCACATGGCCATAAATGAAGGGGCCCCAGGACACACAAATAAATACACACACAAATACAAATAGTCCACATACTTTCCTATATTTTCTGGGGTTTTTTCTTCCCCCCCACTTCCCATATTTTCCCATATTTTCTGGGAATCGCCGATTAATTGTGTCTGTGTGTTTTTTCCCCTCCTGAATAAACCCTTGCACATTACAGCAGATTCGTACTTCCGAAGCAAAGAGTGCTCCCAGGCGCCCGAAGGTGGTTCCAAGGCGGCCCAAGAGGGCACCAAGAGGCCCCAAGAGCGCTCCAGGAGGCCTCCCGATAGAGCCCCAAGAGGCCAACATCGTCGATGTTACAAAAAGGTATGTTGAAGGAGTTCGGGGTTCTCGCATTTTCAGCTTTCCGACGCTCCAAGATGGCTCAAGAAGCTCCCAAGACCGCCCCAAGACAGCCCAAGACGCCTCCAAGAGGGCCCCAAGACGGCTCGAGAGGGCTCCAAGATGGCCCAAGAAGCGCTCCGAGAAGCCCCGAGAAGCCCCCAGGAGGCCCCAGGAGGCCCCAAGAGGCGCCCGAGATGCGCCAAAGAGGCATCCAAGAGGCCCAGCAGATATCCCACGAGGCCCCAAGAGGCCCCCAAGAGGCCCCGAAACCGCCTCCAAGAGGCCCCCGAGAGGCCCCCCCACGACACCCCAACACATATACGACAGGCCTCAGACCCACAACCCAGACACGATGGCGGGATGGGCCGAAGGCCACTCAAATCTGCCGCCTCCAATTGATTCATCACAGGGGTGCCCGGCGTGCTGAACCCTTTCGCTACTGGTTTTGGCTCTTTTTCCAAAATTCCAAAAGAACTCCCTCTGGGGCTTCGGCCCGTCCCGCCGGCCACCCGAAAGGCCGCACAAGGCAGCATAAACCACCCCGACGTCCACAAACAATTATCCAAGACGGCTCAAGATGGCCTCTAAGATGGTCACGTTGGCATCTTGGGCCACCAAGTCGTCAAAGATGGTCTAAGATGGCTTCCAAGACGGCCCGAGAGAGTCCAAAATGCCTTCAAGTTCCTCCAAGAAGCCTCCAAGAGCGCCCAAGAGGCCTCCAAGAGGGCCCCAAACATCCACACCCGCGCACTGATGCATATGGTACCACAGCGGCGATGCTCCGCCGCAGGGCGAGGCGTGCGCTGTTGAATTCTTTAGAGCTCGAGCCCTGGGCCGGGACGCGCCCTCCCAAGGCGCGCGTCCCCCGTCCCACCAAGTTGGAGTTGGCCCCCGCCCTAGCACGCATGTTTTCCAGCCTTTCGTGGGCAAGTGGCGGTGCAAGCTTTGTAAGCAGATGGTCCCTCGGCCTCAGCTGGTCGCCGTGGCGGCTCAGGAGTGTCCTCGTTCTCTCGTCGCCGATGCCGGTGTGAGCGGCCAGGACGCTGCTCCTGGCTTTGAGGATAGTTCCCTATTCGCGCCGCTGCGTGGTGATCAGTATGTCGGGGCTTTAATGTTGCACCCATCTCACAAGCTCCACCTAATGAGGGAGTTCGGGGTGAAGTGTTGTTCTGCTTGTGGGTCCACAGCCACGACGCACGGACGCCGCCTGGCTGCTGGATGTACTGCTAGAAGTTCCAAGGCCCCCACCAAAAAGAGTCATGAAAACCTAGCTTTGGACACCCGAAATGGGTACCGAAAGAATGGGCAACATGCCCAACAACAAATGTTGTCCCGAACCAACAGCGGCCGCTGTTGGGCAAGCGGCCTTCTGTCTCAAATGAACACGGGCCGCGGCGGCGCGGACAGCGAGTCCTGTTCAAAATGAACAGGAACTGCTGTTGGGCATCGTACCCATTCTTTCCGTACCCATTTCGGGCGTCCAGACTAGCTCGAATTCGCCGTGATGTTTTCCCGCCTCATTGCGGCCCTCCTGAGGCGTTCCAGGCGGCGTGTGCACACCGAGCCGTGGCGAGTGCTGGTGCCCCTGGTCGGGTCCCTGGGTCGGCGGTGGACGAGCCTCCCTCTAGTGTCTAGTGAACCTCCCCTCGGTGAGCACGGCCCAGGACCGACGCCGGCGGACCTGCACCCGCAAAAACGACACCGACGGCCTAGGACCGACACCGACGGACCTGCACCCGCAACCATGACGGCCGCAACGCGCCCCCTCGCGAACCGAAAACGGCCCATTCGCTGATCCACGTGTCAGGGTAGGAGGTCTGTCAACCTCCGACTGGGGCCCCCTCCCGTGGATGGAATACTTACCTGGCTCGGTCCGCAGACCGCGACCCTGCCGCGATGGCCGACGCGACGACGCCGGCCGAGGACTGCCCGCCCCCCGCTGCCACCGGTGCCGCCGCCGCCCTCGCCCGTGCTGCGGAGCAGATCGCCTCTTCTGTTGCTTCGGAGGCGACTCGGGGCCGGAGGGATGCTTCCTGTGCGCGTGCGGGTGCGCAGAGCGAGGAGGGGAGCGGGAGCGACGGAGAGTTGGTGTGTTTGCACGTGTGTGCGCATGGGGGGAACCCAGGAGAATCCTCCTCCTCCTCCTCCTCCTCCTCCTCCTCCTCGCCACCCGTCCTCGTACTCATCCTCGTCCTCATCCTTCGTCCTCGTCCTCGTCGTCATCCTCCTCCTTCGAGCATTCGAAATGTGGGTTTCCGCACCAGCCTCCTCCTCCCCCTCCACCATTGACGACGGAGACAGCCACGACCACGACCACCACGACCACCACGGTCACGACGACGACAACGACGACGACGACGACGACGGAGACAACCACCACGACGACGATCACGACAACAGAGACGACGACAAAGACGACGACCACGACTGCCACGACCACGACGATCACGGCGACGATAACGACGACGACAACGACGACGACGACGACGGAGACGACCGCCACGACGACGATCAAGACAGAGACGACGACAGAGACGACGACGAGGACGACGACGACGAGGACGACGACGACGGCAGAAACAGCGGCGTCGACGACGTCGAGGCCGGCCGC